TAAAATTTGTAATGATTAGTCTTTATGGTGAAAAATGTTGATAAGACCCAATAGAATTTTATCAAATGTGTCTATAAATTACAAAGACTAAATCTTTATATTCGACACTCAACTGAATCGTTGTTCAGAGTGAACCGAAAAGTTTTTTAACCTTTTTTTTGTTCTTTACAATCTCAAAATAGCCACAACCCAACAAAACCTCCCAATCTATTGTAGTGTACCCCACTCTCAATGTTGTCTAGTATTATGGGCAGAGGCAGTGAATTTGGTGACATGTTTTGCTGGGGCATTAGTTTGTCGGTTCCTTTTCTTTATAGTTGCCTGACAGCTCATTGATCAACTTATTCCTCTTCCACATATTCATTTTCGTAAATTCTAATATTACCAGTGCAGTGGAACAAGTATAAAGTCCAAAAATAAAAGGTACAGAGAGTATGTTTTTGTTGTTTTTTTAGAAGTACTTGAAGTTTTAGCTAACATATTTTTGCAAAAAATGGAATTTTAGCCAACCTTTAGAAACAAACTCCAAGAGATTTCGTAAATTCTAACTCTGCAAAACTATTTATTTAAACCTGTACTTAAAAATATATCGATTTTATTCGTTTCCTCAGAATTCTTAAAATTGGGTATGGGTACATGTATAATTTCCATATAAAAGTGTAAAATTGAAAGTCTAGTTTATTGGCCCAATAAGCAATATCAAGCCCAGCCCTCCAAGTGAATAAGCCCAAAGGCGAATTCTGGAAGGGGATTGGGGATATGATTTCGAAATTTATCGTTTATTCTACCCTTTTCTTCAAAGTTATTTTCAATGCTACCCCCACGATGTTACTTGTTTCCAAATTGACCCTTCAATGTAATTATTTTCATATTTTATTTTAATGTTTCAACAGTGGTCTTATCAAAATATTGAAAATTTTGAACTTTAAAATGACAATACGTTATTAGTAAGACATACAACATAAGAAAACAATATTTTTGATTTATTATTTGTTCTAAAAAGATGCTGATATGAAAATTTCCCATATGATTTTCCAGAAAATGTCATATGTGCCCTTTAATGATTTATCATTTTCAAATATCGACCTTTGATATAATCCTGTTTTAAATTCTATATTAGATTAGACCATAGGAACTGAAATAGGGAGGGAAGACTCCGGAATTGAAAGTCTGGAATTTGTTGGAAGCGGTTAGTTGGTGGGTAGGTGTTCTGTCTTGATTGGCTTTCTTTTGCTTCCGGTAACAGGCATGTCACGCAAAAGTTCCTCGTCGGGTAATAGGCGAGAAATAGTTCGGCAGACTATAATAATGTAATTAAGAAAACCGTTGAAGCCAAGGCTGAGGGCCCCACTTCGCATTCAACTTGTACAAGTGGATGCAGCTAATTGGCTCCTCCACTCACAACCCGGCAGCCACGTCGGTTCCCGCGTGAATCCTTCCCTGTGTCATTTTGACACAAAGCCGGCGACGGCATATATTTTTCCTCCACCGCGACGCGACTAGTTTCTCGAAATTCCCTCGGCCAGAAATGACTATTCTGGTTTCCGCCGACCGCAGGTTCCGGCGGAGCCCTAGAAAGCCCCTACTCCCCGACAAATACGACCACCAGGAGTCTCTCGAGGTAGGGTCAGATGGCGCATCGTTCTCCGGCGCCGTCTTCAATCTCTCCAGCACCATCGTCGGCGCCGGAATCATGGCTCTTCCGGCAGCCGTGAAACAATTAGGTCTGATTCCCGGATTGGTCATGATCGTGCTGGGATCCACGCTCACGGAGATGTCAATTGACTTCATCCTGAAATTCTCTCGGGCTTCCAAGTCCGTGACGTACGCCAGCGCCGTCGGCGACTTTCTCGGCGGCGCCGCCCGGACCCTCCTGCAGATATGCATCGTGGTCAATAACTTGGGTATGCTCGTCGTCTACATGATCATCATTGGTAGGTCCCTTCTTTCCCTTTCCCCTTCTGAATGATTTGGATTTGCCCCATCAAAGCTTGTTCGTATCCAATTGGTTCTATTTCAAATTAGTCTTCCATTAAGAACAAGAATTATGTTCCCCAATTCGTTTTCCAAATAATTTGGAGTTTGAAGCTCCGTGAGCCAGAAATTTGATGGACAAAATTTAGGGGGGGAATTAGAGAAGATCTTAACTTTTAATACAATTTTTAGAATCTAAATCGAATTACGGGATGAAATCATGGCCACTTTAATGTTTTTTTTAAGGAATTTAAGGCTATGGATCTGGATTTGAAAGTGGGATTTGTTTTGTAGGTGATGTGTTTTCAGGAACATGGGCAAATGACGTCCATCATAAGGGTGTCATGGAAGAATGGTTCGGTCAGCGTTGGTGGACCACCCGCATTTCCTTGATGCTTCTTACGACACTTCTGATTTTTGTGCCTCTTACCACCTTTAAGCGTGTAGGTAAGAAAGCCTCTATTTCTGCTCATGATTTGTTGAGATAATATTTGTTTGGGATTTTCAAACCGCGTTAATGAGAAGCGATATCTCGTTTCTACTCACTTTTATGATCAATGTTGGCTTTGCTAGATTCTTTGAGATACACATCAGCATTGTCAGTGGGCCTCGCCATTGTATTTGTGGCGATCACGGCTGGAGTAGTGATCGCGAAAGTGATGATGGGAGTATCGGAATGCCACGTCTGATGCCCAAACTCATTGATCAGGCATCATTTTGGCAAACTTTTCACCACTGTTCCAATCCTAGTCACTGCCTATATCTGTCACCATAATGGTAAGTTGTTTGGTTTTGGCCKTTTTTTGCTTTCTGATAACAGCAATGTTATTAGCATAAAACTCTTCCAGGTTTTACATTCTCAAAACTTTTCTGTTTCTGGTAGTACATTTTCGATCATTGCATCTAGATGTAAGTAGCAATTATTCAATCATAATTTTGGTATAGTTAGGGAAATTTGTGAAGCTTTGTGTTCTCCTTTTGCTTTTGCAGATAAGATAAGGATGGAAAATCTGAGTGCTTTAGTTAATCATTCTTATCTTACTTTGGCATCAAAATATCCTGCACTTGATTTTAAAACCCTATCTAAGGATGTTTTTATGGAATTCATCCTTATGTTTCTTGCTTTTCCTTTTAAACCATGTTTGCATGGCCAAATCACTTAACATGAGGCGAAATATTTGTTGAGCGACTAACTTGAGCATAGCTCGGGTGGTTATTAGAGCATTTCCTTACGAGTTGTA